TTTTTTTTTTTTTTTTTGGGGGCCAACAAACCCCCCCCCACGCGAATCTGCCAAACGGCAAAACCACCGTTGAAAACGAACTCGAACGCTGTCTCGAAGCTGCTGGCGTCGTCTCCGCTGAGCTGCTCAATAAGCCGGAGAAGCTCTGCTGGAGTCGCGTCGGGCGCACCGACGCCGGCGTCCACGCCGCCAGCCAAGTCGTCTCTCTGAAACTTGTGCTCGCCAACCTCTTGACCAGTCGCTGCTTCCGCGAACAGCTGCGTTTCGACGGTCTGCGCATTGCCTCCGCGGCGCAACTCGCAGACCTGCTTTGCCAGGCGCTCAACCTTTTGTTGCCCGTAGACATCCGCGTCTTCAGTGTCATGGAGGTCTTCGGTCGCTTCGACTGCCGCACCTATTGCGTCCGTCGCCGTTACGAATATCTCGTGCCCGTCGCTCTCTTTTTCAAAGTGCGGCTGCGCGAAGTCGCCGCTGCGCTCCCCGCTGTCTTCAGCGATGCGCCAGTCGCAAACGCGACGTCTGCACCAGGTCTCACTTATGTCGATAAGCAACTGGTCTGGAACGTTGCGCGCGACGCACAAGCTACGGCTGCAGAGCGCGGCGCCGTTGCGACCCAAGCCGCGGCTTGGCGCCGCGAACTAAAAGCACTGCGCGAATACTACGCGTTGCTCAGCGACGAGGAAAAAGTGCGTTCCTACGAACAGCGCGACCGTTCGAACGAAAGTTATCTCGGCGCACAGCTGAGCGAGCACTGCCCGCTGCACCTCTCGTCCTTCGCGCTAGATCCGCCCGACTGCTCGCCCGCCGGCCGCGTCGCCATCGCCGCCGAGTTCTCGCAAATCCTCGCGCAGTACGAAGGCCGGCACAGCTGGAAGCAGTTCACGCGCAAACTTGAAAAGGACGGTAAAAGTCTCGAGCGACAAATGATGCGCATTCACGCCGAGCTGCTCGAAGACGGTCCGCTCAGCGAACCCTTCATCAAAGTCGTTTTCGAAGGCCAAAGTTTTTTGTACAACCAAATCCGGCTCATGTTTTCTCTCGCCTTTCAGGTTTACGTAGGACTCGCGCCCGCTGGCGCCATCCCCGACTTGTTGCGCGCAGTTGACGACGGCTACCGCAGCAGAAAGCTTGCGCCGGGTTTTGCGCTGCTCCTCGAGCGTCCCTTCTTCAGCGGCGGCGAGTGCGACGCACGGCGCACTCGAATTGACTTAGAAAATCACTTGCTTCTCTCGCAACTAGATGCGTGCCAACTGTGCAAGTTCGTCGTCTGCGGCTCGACGCCGCTGCGCGTGGATCGCAACCCGCTTTTGGCGGACGTGCCGAATCCCGTTCTGCGCAACCCTTGGACCGGCGACGCTGCGCGCCGCGCACCCGTCTCACTTCGCATACTCAAGTACAAGCACGAAACGATTTACGCAGTTATCGACGCCGCGTATAAAGAACAGCAGTCCGCAGTGCTCGCTTACCTAACCAGCTTGCTGCTCGACCCGTTTTTTCTCAGCAGCGGCCAATTTGGCTCCGCCGAGCACACGCTGTCGCCACGGGAAGCCGAGTGATTTCGTTCGCACGCGTCTCGCGAGACTTGTGGTTCGCGCGCGTGTTAAGTCCGGTTGAGGCACTCCCAGTGCTGAATCGAACTCCCGCGGATGAAGCAAGTTCCTAGTTTGCGTGACACGTTGTTCGCCGCCAGTTCCTGTGTGTCGTCCAGCACCAAGTTCATGAACACATCGTACCCGCGCAGCCTGCCCACGATTTTCAAATTCTTGTCGAGCGTAATTTGCAGGATGCGCTCCATGAACGGCTTGAGCTCGCATTCAGAACCTGATTTCGGGTACACCTGGTTCTTCGAAGTGCTCATCGCGAACCAGCGTGCTTATTTATTTTTTAACTGGTTTAATTGCGCCGCAGTCGCCTGATTCATAGTCTTCGCCAGACTTTTCATCTCGGACAGCGACTGCACCTGGCCTTCCACTTCCTCCCGCAATTTCGCGGACGTCGATTTCATTTTTCCCACCTGTTTGTTTCCACCTATAACTTACTATCTGCGAGAGGTCGCTGAGTCCGTCTGCGTTGCAACGCGCAGGTGCAACGTCTCCTCGGGCGACCGACTGCCGCGCAACCAGTGTCTTTTCACAAGGATCCGGCGTGTGCGCGTCGTGGGACACAGACTCGTTTTCAATCTCAGGCGAGAAACGCGTAAGTGACTGATACGCAGTTCTCCAATACGACTTCAAGCCATTGATTAGTTGTTGCGATTTTTTTAGCGCTTCATTTGCGTCGAGAAAGTTGCGTTGTGCGTTTTCAATCTTCTCTGACTGTACCTTGGCGCGCTGCAGGTTGTTCTCCTGAGTGTTTACAGCGACTTGCGCCAGCTCAATGCTTTCATGTATGAGACTGTTTTCCTTGCGAGTCGCATCACGGATCGGCAGCTGGAGCGTACGCGGCTTGGTACAAAACCGGGCTCGCGCATGTTCGCTGCTCCCCAAGAAGTCTTTTTTTTCAAGTGTGTTTGCTGATTCGTGTGCTTCCTCGCTTGTTAGGGGCATTGTCTCGCGTCTTTTTTGTTTGCAAACAAGTTAGTACAAATTTATTCGTTGATCTAAAAACTGGCGAAAATTATGAAGCGGCTTGGAATAGTGCTCGTTGCGATCTGCGCCGCAAACCCCAAAGTTGATCACCACAAGATGCATCCCGTTGCAACAGCAGAGGCAGTTTACTCTTGTCCGCCAGGCTTCGTTGACAACGGCTCGCGTTGTGAAAAGGTCATCAGACAGCCGCTCGTCCCGGCGTGCACCGAAGGCATTCTTCAGCCGGACAAAACCTGTTTGATCAAAAAGCCTTCACGTAAAGAATGTGACCAAGAGTTCGTCTTGCTGAATTCCGTCTGCACCCGTACCAAGACCACCACCGCTTCGCTGCAGTGCCCGCACGGATACCATTTCGAGAGTCAATACAAGCAGGGCCACGGACAAGGCGCCATGTGCGTGAAGACGGTAGTAACGCCGCAGTACGGCTGTCCGAGCAACGCGCGAGCGGAGGGTGACCACTGCATTGTCGAAGCCTCAATGCCTGCCGATCTGCGCTGCCCGGAAGGAACCGTGTCGCAGGGCACTGCCTGCGCGAAGCTTGAGGAGTACGACTGCAACATGCAGTTCACTACGTCGCATACGCACCACGCGCGCAAACTCGCAGAGGAGAACAACAACGGTCCGATACGCGAACTGAACAAGAAAGTCCGGATCGACACATCCGACATGGTCATCGACGTGAAGCCTGCGCCACAGCCGATTCTCAACCAAGTCTGCCAGCGTACAGTGCTTGTTCCGCCCGAAGTAACTTGTATGAACGGTCACTTGGTTGGCCGCATGTGCGTAACTTCGGTGGTTAGCTCAAAGATCGAAACCCGGCCGCTGATGAGCTATGAGACGGCCGTGCCGATAGCGAGCTGCCCGGCTGGCTTTGCGCCGTGTGCCAGCGCCGGCAGACGTCACAGCTCGTCAGACTGCTGCTCGACCGAAGAGAAAGCTCCATTCGTGTACTGCGACGCTGGCTACGACCTCATTGGTTCGGTGTGCCAAGCTGAGCGGGAAGCGGATGAGGTGTGCACGGCTCCGGGCTCGGTGCGCAGGGCCGACGGACAAGAGTGCGTGAGTGTGCAGTACGCGGACTACACCGTGAAATACTCAACAGAAATGCAGTGCCAGGGTCGCGACTGCATGACTGCGATCCTGAAACACAATCATCATTAAATTCGTGATCAAAAATATTTTCGGGTAGCGCAGCGATCATCTTGCGTAAATGACATGCCATACCATGTGTTTTACAAAGTCGGAATTAAGTTGGAAACTGTTCTGGCGTGCGACGCCTGGCAGAGCTGGGTTGCGAGCGCAGAGCCGCGTTTCGTGTCGGGTGACTTAGCTGTGCATGCGAGTTTTCCTGTGGAAAACCGCTCAGAGGATATTGAGCAAGAGATTCTCGAATTGGTGCGCGGCCACTGGGCTGCACAACACAGCGAAACCGCAAAGCCGTTCGAAAACTGCTTGTCTGCAAAGCTGCAAAGCGTCGAAATGTGGTGCTCGATCGCAGCTGCGAAAGAAACGATCGCAGTGGACGCGCAGCGTTATCACTTGAAGGAGTTGTTGTGTCGCACGCGCGTGACGTCCGAGAAAAGCGCAAACGTCGGAGCAGCCGAGCTACTGGAGAAAGTTTTGGCGCAACAAGACGAGCGGGTGTTCTGGTCGTGTCCGACGTACGTGGTGTTGGTGTATCCGGGAAGTTACTTGCGGTGGGCAGAGCAAGTGTGCCGCTTTCTGGTGGACACGCGGTGTACCAGCATTACCGATCTGGAGTTTTTGGAGAGACTCGGTCGCAGCTCTTTCATTGCGGCTGGCGAGTTTGGCGTGGAGCGGATTCCGAGCGAAAAGCTGGCGGTCGAAGACCAGATCACCGGGTTTACGCCTTGTGCGCTGCAAACGCTTTCCTGGTTCGAAGAGCGCCGTGAAGATCCTTGGCTGACGGGTTTTTTGACCAACGCAGAAACAGACTCGGCTCAGCGCAAAGAGCGTGACCCGCTGCTTGAGTTCGCGCTGTTGTATTTGTACTCGAAGTCGGTTGAGCAAGAGTGGTACGTTACGGTGAAAACAAAGCTCGTGGCTACAATTGCGTTTTACATCGACTACGATAACGCGAGCTACCTGCAGGCGCAGAGCTTCCGAGCCTTGCCTAACTTTTTCTTTCGGTTGTTGGACGAGATTCCCGTATTTTTCAGTGCTGAGACGTTCAAAACTGGAGACCCGAGCACCGTGCAAAAGGCGGCGTTGCTCAGCACAGAGGCGAAGCTAGAAGACAATTCCGAGGAGACAGCCGAGATGGAAACCGGCTGCGCGTCGGACTCTGTACCGCACAGCGGGCTAGCGCGAAGAGACGGCTCGAAAAACGGCGCCTACAGTTTTGCGCGCAGCTCGCTATTTTCCGAGACAATTTTGAACTGCAGCGCGCCACTGCAGCCGGCATTTCCGCCGCTGTTGAGCAACCTGGTTTACACGGCTTACTCGACTGCGTTGCTTGAGCGGTTCAGTGCCGCGCAGAGTTGGACGCTGTACTGTGCGTTTGCGCTTGGAGCGCGAGCGTTTGAGGTGTCGGGTCCTGACGCTGCGGGCCGCGCAGCAGCTCGCGCGCTGAACGACTTCCTGTGCAATACAGCGAGCGCGACTTGCAGATTGGACCGCTTCATGCTTCTCAAGATGAGCGAGTTGCTGCGCGTCGAGCTTTTCCCACGAGCTCCGGCGGAGTGCGACTCAACGTCGTCGTCGAGCGACGCCAGCAGCGGCGAAGACAACAGTCGAACGCTACGCCGCGCGGTGCGCAGCGCGACTGAAATTTCGACAGCTGATAGCCAGAAGCACAGCGATTTGACTAGTACAATCGATGTCGCAGTGCGCACCGAACGAGCGGAGCGGACAGCTGTGATAATTGAGTCACATGCTCTAAAGCAACAGATTCGCTTTCTGTATGTACCGCGCAGCGCGATCTATGAATTGGGAAACGCTGTTCTGTTCCGAGACAGCGCGCCGGAGTCACAGGGAGCAGCTATCGTAGATGAGTTGCAAGCGATAGATTTGTGCGCGCTGCATCTTGGTTGTCCACAGAAGCTGGAATGCATTCGCGGAGAAGCTCTCGCGTTCATCCGGGGTTTGAGTTCGGGAGCAGAGCGTGTTTTGAGCCTGGCGGGAGACAGTCGAGCCGCAGACACGTACGGCAGACTAATGTCTGAGCTGTACAGCGTCAAGGCCCTATGCTTCGTAGCGTTCGACAACCTGTTGCGTTGGACCACGGGACAGCTGTGTCAACTCGTAGCCTCGGTGTTGCGCGACTCGCCGCATGACGGATGCTCTGCTTCGACGCTTGAGAATGACATACTACGCGCTGTTCCATTGGTTGCGCAGCGAGCTGAAACGGTGGGTGAGGCAGTCGATCAGATCAAAGCAGGCATGCAGGTGAAAGGAGCCGAGTCGCTGCTTGATGCTGTGAGCGCTCTGACCGAGGCTCTGATACAGACTGACGTGGGGCTCAACGACCTGGAACGCCTAGCGCTGCGCTTAGTGTGGATGGCAAATGGAAAAAACGCGGCGATGGCAGCCGTAAGCAAGTTTGTTAGCAGTTGGACAAGCTTGCTGTGGCCAGGTCGCGATACGGAAGCACGCACTTGGATTAGCTAAAAGGCTGCACGGCGAAGTGAAATTACTTCTGCTCACTGTATTGAGCGTGCGAGGACGAATTGTAGTTCTCGCGCCGGTAACTCGGTCTGCGGTCGTTCGCAAAGTTGTCTTGTCTGCGGTAGTTGTCAAAACCGCCCCCACGGTTGCCGTACGGTCCGCCGTGGCCACGGCCGAAACCTCCGCCCCCGTAGCGGCTGCGCCCGAAGCGTGAGTTGTACTGCGGCGCTGTTCGAATCATAGAGCTCAGTTCAACGGGAACCTCCTGGCCAGCGTCCTGCAGTACGCCGACGAGCGCTTTACAAAGGCTCTTATTCTTATCCGTAAAGAACGTGTAAGACTCGCCCGTGGCGTTCGCGCGCCCAGTGCGTCCAATGCGGTGGACGTAGTCCTCAATTTGCATCGGCATGTCGATGTTGATGACCACCTTCACGTCTTTGATGTCGAGGCCACGCGAGGCCACGTCGGTGGCGACCAAAATGTTGGCGCGTCCAGTTTTGAACTCTTCGAGCACGTATCTGCGTTCTTCCTGCTCTTTGTCGCCGTGGATGCACACGCAGTTGAACTGCTGTCGCCGCAGTTCGCGCGCGAAGTAATCACATGACCGTTTGGTTTCGCAAAAGATCATGATGCCGGCGTTGGTGCCGCGCTGCTCTAGATCGCGAAGGAGGTTGATGACTTCGTTGTATTTCTCTTCCTCGCTAACTATTTTGACGTGCTGCTTCACGGACTTCGCAGCGCTCAGCTCGCTGCTGCCAATTTGCACGTGCACGGGTTGGTCCTCGCAGAGACTATAAGCGAGGTGGCGCAGCTCTTTCGGCCACGTCGCGCTGAAGAAACACACCTGTCTGTCCTTGCGAATGTACTCATTGATTTCTTCGATCTGGGGCTTGAAGCCGAAGTCTAGCATGCGGTCAGCTTCGTCGAGAACGAAAAACGTGACTCTGCCAATGGTAAGTCTGCGGTCTTTCAAAAAATCGATCAGACGCCCAGGACAAGCAACCAGAATTTCTACTCTGCCGCCTAGTTCTTGCAGCTGCATACGCTTTGGAGATCCGCCGTAGATGGCAGAAATGCGGACGCCCATGCAGAATTTGCGACCTTCATTTCGAATTTGCTCCGCGAGCTCACGCGTGGGCGCTAGCACGAGGCAGATCGGACCCTCGCCTGGGTTTAAGCGGCGTTGCGCCGCTATGTGCACGAGGGCGGGTAGCAGAAAAGCGAGCGTCTTCCCGGAACCGGTAGTCGCGATGCCAATGAAGTTCTTGCCCGACATGATGATCGGCCAGGATTGTGCTTGGATGGCGGAAGGTGCCGTGAAGCCGGCCTCCAGTAGACGTTGCGTCTGTTCGGGTCGGAATCCAGCGTCTTCGAATCGGAACACCGGCTTGAAGTCGCAGCCCGGAGTCAAAATCTGAATCTCATTTTTGCGACGGTATTCGCGCACCTCTGGCTCCGGCACGCCGACCGTGTATTCCGTCGGCTGGTAGAAATTCTTCTCAAAAGGCTCTGTGGAGATTTCCTGGTTCACCTCGCGAGGAGCAAAGCCTCGTCCGCGACCGCCGCCCCTCCTTTGGTAGCTCTGCTCGAAACTGCCATATCGCTCATTTGACTGATACGGAGGTTGGTCGTAGTAGCAGTTGCTGGACTGCATTGTATAATATTATTTAAAAGAGATCCGACAGCTTAAATATAATTAACGAAAGTGCTCGTTTATTATGCTGCAATTTTGTGCGCGACTCGCCTACTTCTTTGCCGCGCCCTGCGCCGCCACAGCCGCCACGCGCTTCTTCACTTCAGCCTCGTCCAGCAGGTAACGCTTGTCCACAACCTTCAGCGCGTTGTCGAAGGTGTAGACCAGCGGTACGCCGGTGGGGATGTTGATTTCCATAATTTCAGCGTCAGACATGTTGTCTAGATACTTTACCAAACTGCGGATGGAGTTGCCGTGCGCCACGATGAGCACGTCTTCGCCGCGCAAAATCGCCGGCGCAATCGCGTCCGTCCAGTACGGCAGCACGCGCTTGATGCAGTCGGCCAAAGCCTCTGACGTGGGCAAGAAATCTTTCGGCACGTTTCTGTACGCAGGTTTGTTGCCCGGAAAACGCGGATCCGTCGGTTCGAGACTCGGAGGACGGATGTCGAACGAGCGTCTCCATATCTTGACCTTGTCTTCGCCGTGCTTCGCAGCCGTTTCCGACTTGTTCAAGCCTTCGAGCGCTCCGTAGTGGCGCTCGTTCAGTCTCCAGTTCTTGACTACCGGGATGTAGTGTAGCCCCATGTTTTCGAGCACGATCGAGCATGTCGAAATAGCGCGCAGCAGGTACGACGTAAACGCAATCGAAAAGCTAAAGTTGCCTTGCTTCAGCAGCTCTGCGGCCTCCAACGCTTCTTCTCTGCCGTGCGCTGATAGCCCGACGTCTGTCCAACCCGTGAACTTGTTTTCTTTGTTCCAAGCGGATTCGCCGTGTCTTATCAACACCAGTTTGAAACCCATTTCTGCTGCGGATATTAAATATGAAAAACTCAAATATTTAAAGTGTTGTTCTTTGCGCATCGCGAGTAGATCGCGCTGTAACGCGCTGATCTTATGCGTTCGTGTTACCCGGCGCGATCTAATTTGTCGCGGATTTAATAATAGCAGCGTACTGAGTTGCTGAGCGCTGTCGCGGGAACGTGATCAGTCTATGGTTTCGCAGCTCGAAGCGAAACTTTCAATAACTAGTTGAGACCGTTTTCATGCGACACTGGTGATTTCAGCGATTTGCGGTGCTCAAGTATCAGCTACGCGCGCTTTTCTTTACATGATTCGCGCGCTACCCTGCAGACTTAGCTGGTATATAGAAGTGCTAGGCAGCGTCGCTGAACAACGTTTCGTACGCGTATCGTTAGCTTGGTTCTTTCGCATGTGCTCCGTTTCAACGAGCTAATAATTGAGGTTGTCTGTTTTCGCTCAAGTCAAACCTGCTTCCTTCACGCGCTAGCTGATCCTGCGCTGTACTAGAAGTTAGCTCTGATCTGGAAGTCTCAGCGTTATGGCGTTGCTCAGTGTCGGCTAACCTGGCTTGATTGGCTAGAAGAGCGAGTTGCGGGTTCCGCGTTCGCTTTAGGCTGCGCGCGTTACGTGCATGAATAGAAAAAGATTCAGTGGCAGATTTGTGCGCAACTATGCTACTTTACCCTGACACGCGTGGCTGTTGTGATCTTGGACTGATGGACGCGAGAATGGGAGAGACAAACACGTTCGGAAAAGATCGCTTATTTGTTTCGAACTGCGAAAACACTGCACACTCTCATGAGATCCAGAATCGCATTCATCACGCTGCTATTGGCAGCAATGTTGAGCGCTGCGAACATGATCGACCCGGATTTAATTGGAGATCGCGGCTACTATGTCGCGATGCCAACGTACGCATCGAAGATCGCGTTCATCATGACTTCGTTGAATTTCGTTGCCGCGTTCTACTACTTTAGCACCTCGCGGATTCAGAAGTTACTTCCGCTAACTTGCGTCAAGTTGTTTTTGGGCGTGCACTTGGCCGGCGCTTTGATGTACGTTTGTGAAGCGTACGACTGCAAAGTGTTCTGTCTGGTGATGGCGATGTTTATGTTAGTGTGCAACATCATGCTCGTTTCCGCGAGCGGCGAGATGTACCGCCGCGCACCAAGCGAATTCTCGTTGCTTGACTACTTGTGCTTTGAGCCCGCGTTTGCGTTAAGTCTTGGCTGGAGCACGTTCCGCTTCATATCTTGCTACAACAGCTTTGTTGAGAAAGGCGCTGTTAATCTGTTCCGCGACGCGACGGACTTGAACTTGGGCTTTTTCTGCGTTAGCTGCATACTTCTGATGCAGGCGGTTCAGCTGTACACGGGTATGCCGAAGGTGGCTTCGCCGTGGGCGTCGATCGCGATCACGCTGCTTCTTGTTCTCAGTGCGTTGGAATGGAGAAGCGTGGAGCGTGAGTTTTCAGACACGGTGCTTTTGGTGTATTTAGTTTGCGCGTTGATCGCGACGGTCTACGTGGTGATCGCGCTGATTGTGACGCTGCGCACGGGATTTCTGCAAGCCTTCAACAAGCAACACGAAGCGAAGACGGACTCATGCACGTGGGTCTCGCAGTCCAGCGACATCTGTCTGGAAGTGGACGATGGCGGTTCCGTTTTAAAATCTAAAACGTGAGCGAGACGGGACTCGAGCGAGTCGCCAATGTACATTCACACTATTTAATATACAAAAAGCTAGTTCGTGCCGAACCCGTAGATCGTACGACCCTGGCGCTTCAGCGCGTAGACGACGTCCATTGCGGTGACAGTCTTGCGACGCGCGTGCTCCGTGTAGGTGACGCTGTCGCGGACCACGGACTCCAAGAAGGACTTCAGCACGCTACGAACTTCTTCGTAGATCGCCGCAGAGATACGCTTCACTCCGCCACGTCGAGCCAAGCGGCGAATTGCGGGCTTGGTGATTCCGTGGATGTTATCTTGCATCAGCTTGCGCTGACGAAGCGCGGGGCCCTGCTTCCCAAGTCCCTTTCCAGCTTTGCCTCGACCCGGACCACTCATGATGCTCGTTCTTCGATATTAAATAGTTTGTAAAATCCGAATTAAAATCTATTTAATTATCGTTTTAATCGTACACAATAACGACCCAGGCGTGCTCCTGCGATCGCAAAAGTGCTAGAAAACAGATGAAAATACGCTTTTTAATTTGCGAGAAATATTACGTATTTTTAACTTTTTAGATATCGTAGAACAACCTTAAGTTGGCAATACAATGTCGGGCGCAGGCAAATCAGGAGGCAAAGGTGGAAAGATGCTGACGAGCAGCAAGTCCACTTCGCGATCAAACAAAGCGGGTTTGACTTTTCCGGTGGGTCGAACGCAGCGATTGATGAAAGAGGGCCACTTCGCGGAACGCATCGGCACGGCTGCGCCGGTCTACGTGGCCGCGGTGCTGGAGTACCTGTGCGGCGAACTGCTGGACTTGACGGTCACGATTGCCAAATCTTACAAGAAGAGCCGCATCACGCCGCAACACATCCAATACGCGATGAAGAGCGACGAGGAATTCAGTCGTTTGACTAGCGGAGTAACGATCGCCAACGGCGGCGTGTACAACGGCATGGCGCAGGCGGGTGCCGGCAAGAAGGACGAGATCGGCGTCGACGACTAGCCGCCTGATCAGGTGTTAAGATATCTATGAGTACATGATGTTTAGTTTCATTCGAAACTAATTGGCAACGCGATTTGCTAAATATTTGAAACAAAATGTTCGGCTTCGCGCAGAAACTCTTGGCGTCATGAGCGCGCCTCTCGCTTTGCTGGACGACACTGCCGTGATGCGCGGCTTCGGGCTGGCGTACGCGCGACCGGCTCGGCCGAAAGTAGTCCTCTACGCGACCGAGACGCTGCGCGCAGCGCAGGCCGAGCAACTCTTCGGCCGTGCGGAGTGCATTCATTCCTGTCTGCTGCGGAAAACGCTGCTCGACGCTCCCACGCTGCATGCGTACGCCGGCCCGCACTTGTTGCAGCGCACTGCGCCGAAGCTGGACGCGGCTCTGAAGCTCGCGCGCGCGTCTGTGCGCGAGAAGTACCGCAAGCCGTTGCCGAGCGCGCTGGAGGCATGCGTCTCCGACCGACAGCACTTCGTGCTGCGCGACACGGTCACCGAGATGAGCCGCGTCATCGAGGACGTATTCTTGTACAACCACAACATCTACGGCTTCCGGCTGGGCGACGATTGCGAGGTGCATGACCTTCCGCTGTTCAGTCCGCGCATCCACTTGGTACTTTCGCCGCCGAACCGCGTACCCTCGAGCTTCTCGCGCGCGGTGCGCGAGCTTGAGCAGCACCTCGTTGCGAAAACGGACCTCGACCCGCGCTTGGTCGCGTTTGTCTGCAAGCTACAGGCGCTGGGGCTGCTGCATGTGCCGAAGGCGCTCGACGGCGCGTTGCATTTACGGAAAAAGACGCAGTACGTGAAGTTTGCGTTCGAGGCCGAAAGCGTCGCCGCCTGGCCCGCGCTGAGCGCGGAACAGCTCGAGCCGGTCGCGGCGCCGGAACTCGCGAGTCTCAGCGACGTCAAGCCACTGCTGTTCAAGAAACTAAAGCTGCAATATTTTAATTAATTCGTTCACCGGAGGTCGGCTGCCATGCTGCTGACGCGCTGCAGACGCTTGCTGCCGGTCTCTGCGCAGTCGCGCTTCCACGCTGTGGCGGCGCCCGCCGCAGCCGCGGAGCGGATTGAGGTCGTCTTTGTGCACCCAGACGGCTCCGAGACGCGCGCCAGCGGCGGAAGAGGCGACTCAGTGTTGAGCGTCGCGCACGCAGCTGAGGTGCCTGTCGAGGGCGCCTGCGAAGGCGGGCTCGCGTGCACCACCTGCCACGTGATTCTCTCGCCGGAGGACTACGCCAAGTTCCCGGAGCCCAGCGTGCGAGAAGAGGACTTGCTCGACATGGCGCCGTTCTTGACGAGTACGTCGCGGCTGTGCTGCCAGCTGCGGCTGGATGCACAGCATCGCGAAGCGCGCTTCCGGCTGCCTGCGGCAACCAGAAATTTCTACGTGGACGGGCACGTGCCCAAGCCGCACTAGCTGCGGCGTTTTTCGATTTTCGCCCGCAATAGCAAATGATTTATGGACGAATTTCAAAAGCTGCTGCAGACTGCGGGCCTGCAGAACCGGGGCGTCGCGGAGCGCGCGTCGGGAAAGCCGCGGACGCATCTGTACAAAACGAGCGCCGAGCCAAGCCCTTCGGCGGTGTGCGCGGAGACGGCGCCTGTCGAATTCGCCGCAGACACCCCCGCGGCTTTCGGCACGGGCAGCGAAGAAGTCGAGCGTATCCTTGCGCTTGACGCAGAGCCGCTAGACTCGGTAGCCATTCTGAAACTCGGCGTGGGCAGCTCCGAAAAGAAAGCGCGCTCGAATTTTCGAGAGCTCTCGCGACTGATCCACCCGGACAAGTGCAAGCACGAGATGGCGGGGCGCGCGTTCGATCTCGCGAAGAAAGCGCTTGCGCGCTTTGCCGAAAACCCCGCCGCAAGCTTCGACCAGCTCACTTACAAAGAGGCCGTGGCCGCGCTGCAGGAAGAACACCGGCAGGAGCACGGTTCGCTTGACAGCTTCTCGCTGAAGAGCGCAGACGCGAAGAAGCTGCTGAGCGCAAAATACTACGCGATTATCGAAGAGCGGAAGCGAAAACTGCGCAAGGCGCACGAGCTGCGGCGGCGCAACGCGGAGTTCGTCGCAGACGTGGAAGGCAAAGCTACCTTCGAACTGCTCGCGGAGCGCGCCGCTCTGCGCGCCGACAAGCGCGTGCTCAAAGAGCGCGCGAGCCAATGGCGCCAGTTTCGGCAGGCGGCGCCGCGCTGAGCCGTTCCCACAGCATCAGCACCGGCGTCTGCGAGAGCAGTTTCTGCAGTTCGATGCGCTGAAGCGCGTCGGCCTGCTGCCAGACCCACTCGCTGCGCGTCTTTATGAACGCGTCGTAGCCGACCGCAGGCTGAGCAGGCGTATTGCCGCGCCCGATGGCGTGCAGCTTCCGCTGGCTCACGAAACACGTGAGCGCGAACGCAGCTCGCTCTTCGCCGCAGCGCAGCTGCAAGTTGTCGCAGTCGTACTCGAAGCTGAAGTCGTACTGCAGCGTCTTCTCCTTGCTCAAAAACTCGGCGTCCCACGCCAGCAACAGGTAGCGCTGGAAAAACGGCTGCGTTGCGGCGCCGCGCGCCGCAAACTCGCGGCGCGCGTCGAGTGCAGCCTTCGAAACCAGCGCAGCGAGGTCCACGCTTTGGCTCTGAGCAGTCAGGTGCTTCACGATGCTGTGGTGGTTTAGCAGCAAAAAGTGCTGCTTTGGCGTGAACGCTGTGCACTGTTCGCGAACTGCTGCTGCTGCCTGGCGCGCGCAACCGAGTGCCGCGAAAAAGCCGTCGGCGTCGCGCTGCAGGCTCTGCAGCACGAACTCGACTAGCTCGATTGGCGGCGCGCTCGCTAGCGCACCGCCGTCGAACGCGCGCGCTTCGAGCGCGAACATCACCTTGTCCAAACGCACCGCGCGCTGCAGCTGTGATGCGAGCAGCTGCTTTTTGAGCGTCACGCTCAGCTGTGCGACGAAGCCGTCCGCTACGTGTTGCGGCAGTTGTGCTAGCCGAGCCGACGGCAGCGAGCAGAGCAAGTGCCGCACCGGCGAGATGCACTGCAGCGCGTGCAGCGCGCACGCAACCGTCGCCTCTGACGTTGTGGCGCACCTGAATGGCACGCGCCCCGCGTAAAACGCACCGGCGCCGCTGCCGATCAGCAGCTGCGGCCCGCCGGGTCCCGCCAGCGCGGCCTGCAGCTGCTGCAACTCTGCAGCGACTTCCGCAGCAAAAGTCTCGGCGACAGCGCCTTCGTCAGAAGCAACCGGGCTTGCTGCTCCGCCTTTGCGGACAGCGGCGCCGGAAACCACTGCTCGCGCGCAATACGTGACGTGCGCGGAACGCGCTGCGGCAGCCTGCGCGCAGAGCGCGGCGGGTTGCAGCGTTGCGCCCGCGGGCAGCTTGGTCAGCGCGTCGAGCAAGAGCAGCCGCGCACAACTGAGCTCGGGGCTGATCGCCTCGCGAATCTCTGCGAACGCTTCGGCCGGTTCAAACCGCTCTTCCCACATGTCGTATACAGCGCCAGACACGAGACAGGCGAAGTAGCGGTGGTCCGACTCGAGCGTGTGCGTGTAGGCCGGCGAGGCGGCCGCGAGGCCCGCAAAGTACGCGCCGCAGGAGAGGCACGCGAACACATTGCGCCGGCTCGCGGTGACGCTGCAAACCGGCATGTAGTCGAAGCACAGCTGCGCGTGACGGACGTGTGCGGCGGCGTCTGCGCATGCGGGGTTCGCGCTCGAAGAGTTGGCGCCGGCGGAGATCGCGCAGCCGTTCTCCGACGCGGCGTTTGCGCGCGCATCGCGGTGTGCGGCTGCGTCCATGCGACTGCGCCCCGTCAGAAACGTATCCGAAATTGTGCAATTACGCCGGGCTTTTTGGAGCCAATTAATTAATAGTTCTAAATCTCTAGTTGCGGTTGGCCCGGCACATGTTCAACTCGTATGCCAAGCTGCTTAACAACCAATGGGCCGACTATGATGAAGACGACAACGCCATCGTCACGACCAACGCGAAGGGACAGCGCGTGCTGATTACGCTCTTCAACGACGCCAACGGCAAGCAATCCAAATGCGAGCGCGTCTACAACGTAAAGCGTGTCTCCATTCGCACGCTGCGCCGTGCTAAAGAGCGCGTGCAAAACTGGAAAAAGTTCGGGCTCGAGCTGCTGGACCTCAACCACCCGGACTTCAAAAAGTACAAAACCGTGCCGGTCGACCACGACGAGGTGATTTCGCAGGGCGTCTTCCGCGGCGCCGCGAAGATCGAAAGCTCGGACGCGCAGCAGCTGCTCGTCGACGACGTGCCCGAGGTCAAAATGAACCAAATGAACGAGCTCTCGCGGCTGATGCAGGGCATCACGAGCAAGAACCCCATGTCTCCGTTCAACGCCGCAGAGAGCAGCTTCAACTTGGACAACTACTCCGGCGCCGCCGAGCGGCTGCCGCCCAAGTACCCAGACGACGACAAGACCATCAAAGTCTTCGACATTCCGGACTTCATCACCGAGGACGACCTGCGCGAGATTTTCGGCAAAGTCGGCCCGCTGAAGCGCGTCTACCTCGTGTGCAACAAAGAGACGCAGGTTTCGCGCGGGCTCGCCTTCATCACGTACGCAGACATCCGTTACGCGATGCAGGCGTACAAGCGCTTCAACAACAAGGGGCTTGGCGGCGCGATCGTCAAAATCTCGCTGTCCAAGAAAGACTAGCGCGAATTTTCGATAAATATTTCATGTTGCAGGTCGCTGTGTTCAACGACGGTGGTTGCGTGTTCAGCAGCTTCACTACGCTCGACACCGAAGCGCTCGAGTTGTTGCGCGGCGCGCAAAGCGCTGTCTTTCAACTGCTCGGCGAGTTTGCGACGGACGCCGCGCCGCGCGCCGCGCGCTTCGCCAGCGCTGGCAGCGTCCTGTGGTTTTCGCGGCACGCGCGCGGGCACGCGCTTGCGCTCAGCGGTCTGCCGTCGCGCGCGGATGCGGCAGCCGTTGCCGCGCACGTATTCGAGCAGCTGTTCGACGCGCTAGTTTTGCAGCGAGATAATTACGTGAAAATTAGTTTGGCGGAAAAGCCCGACGCGGCCGCGCTACTGCAACAACAGACGTTCATTCGCGAAACTACTGGTTTTCCCGCTGCGCTCTCGGACTACGCGCGCGCGCTCGGCCCCTGACCCATGTACACGTTTGCCTGCTCGGACAGCCGCTTCGCGGTGTTCTGCGGCGACGACAAGTTTGAGAACGAGTTGCTGCTCAAGTACGCGCGCAACTGCGATGTTTGGTTTCACGTCTCTGGCTTCAGCTCCGCGCACGTGTATTTGACGCTTCCGCGCGGGCTCGCGCTGCAAGACGTGCCGGCGGCGGTGCTGCAGTTCTGCGCGCAACTCACGAAGGTGCGCTCTCTTCAGGGCGTGAAGCAGCCGACAGTGGACATCGACTACTGTTACGCTGCGAACTTGCGCACGATCCCAGAATTCGAGGTCGGCACCGTGACGTTCATCGACTCACGCGCAGTGCGCAAACTGCGCAACGTCGCCGCGCCGAAGAAGGTGGCGCGCGCGCTGAACGCGCTCGCGCGCCACGTACCCACGAATGAGGCGTTTTTCCGCGATGCGTTGCAGGCGTATAACGCAGCGACGCTCGCCGAGCAGAAGCGAGCTGCGCAGCTCGAGCGCGAGGCCGCGGATCGGCGCGACGCAGAGCGGCTTGCCGCGCAGCGGCTCAAGCATTACGAAGACTTGCACGTCGCCGCACGACCGGAGCCGCGCGGCGACGGCTCGCTGCAGAGCTGCCGCGAGATCGAAGAGGACTTTATGTAGCAACGACTAGTGGTTGCGCGCGTTGAACGAGCGGATGTGCGCTTGCAGCCGGACGAGCCCCGGCGTGTTCAGGCGGACCATTCTGCGGAACTTGTAGGTCTTGTACATGTTTTCCAGAACGCTGACCAGCGGGGACCAGACCGCCAACAGTTCGCGCTGGCGCAGATTCAGGTCCTTCAGCGCAGAGTTCTTGAGGAACACCATCGTTTTGCCCAGCTGGAAGTCGGAGGGCGGCACGTTGCTTTTCTTCAGCAGTTGCGTAGCCGCTTCGCGGTGCGTGAGCGTCTTGTCTTCGGCGATTCCGAGTCCGAGGAACTTGAACTGCGCGCAGAACTCTTCGAAGAGCCGGCGATAGCTGTAGCCCAGGTTGCGCAGCTGCAGCGCCTCGAGAATCGACAGGCTGTACAGCTGGACGAGCACCTTGCTCGGCACGTACTTGAGCGCCGCCTTCTCTTCGTTCGGCTTGAGACAGCGGATGAAGTGCGTCTCAGTCTCGTTGATGATCCCGATCAGCGTCTTCAGCTCTTTCAGGAACGTCGAGCTGATCAACTGGTCTTTGCCAATTTTTCCGGAGACGACAGAGACGCTGTCGAACGCCTCCTTCAGCAGATTCAGTTTGCTGCGCTTCAACACGTCGACCAGTTCGTTCTTTAAAATGTCGCGGTTCTTCGCGAGAAACGCCTGCGCGTTGTATTGGATGTCGCCGATAGTGTGCGTGATCACGAAGTTGCAGTCGCTACCGACCTTCGGCTTGCTGTAGTTCGGGTTCGAGCCGAGGCCTACGTGGCAGGAGTGCACAAACTTTGCGTCGTCCGAGGCGGGCGCGACGCACGCGTCTTCGAGGTAGCTGATGATCGAGCCCCCTTTTTTGGTGAGCAGCTCAATGATCGGGTCGTTCGACGTCCACACGAGGTTCGCCTGCGAAATGCCCTCTTCTTTGTACAGCGCCGTTTCTTTCTCGAAGACGACGTCCACGAAGTTTTTCTGCAGCATCTCGTTCGTAATGTTGATGAAAAACTGCTCGAGGCTGTTGTTGTCGAACACTTCGAAGCCGAAAATGTCTAGAATTGCGACGAAGCTACGGAAGCCGTTCGCCGGCGCGATCTTCTTGTTCAGCTTCGCGATGATCCAGTTGAACAAGTTCTGGTACATCGCCTTGGCCATGGAGTCGCGGACGACCACCGCTTCGCTCGCAGTGTACACACCCTTCACCGTTTTGCCCGCGCCGCCTGCCGCGAAAGTTTTGACCGTCAGTGCGTTCAGCAGGTCCGCGCTGTCGATCTCGATCAGATTGCTCAGCAGGTGCAGATTGTCGAGCTGCTTGATCGCCGCCGCGTTCGGCAACCCTTCGCGGCGCTCCGCAACGATTTCGACGTTGCCCATGAGCAGGACGGCGGAGAGGCACTTCATGATGCCGTCGAACTCCGCGTCCGTCACGCCCATAACTTTCAGCGAGTTACGTACCTCCTGGAAGTCTGCCTTGTCGTCAATGCTCGGCACCTTCAGCGCGCCGGCCTTCAGGTAGTTGTAATGCGTCTGAATCCCGTACTTCTTCTTCTCTTCTGCGCTCAGCCCGCTGAGCATCTGATAGAAGATGTGGTAAGAGCGCTCGCCGGCACTCTGGCTGATGATTCGGCTTTTTTCGAGCAAAAAGCAGCGCACGAGCCCGCTCTCGATCCCGCCGTTTTTTCCGATCTCCATCTGCATGAAGCGGCCGAAGCGCGAACTGTTGTCGTTGCGCAGCGTCTTTGCGTTTCCAAACGCCTCGAGCACCGGGTTGCCGGCCAGCACCGCGTCCTGCACGAGCGAGTTGCGCCGGCCGCTGCTGCTCGTCGCAAAGTACTTCATCACTTGCTTTGCTGCCTCGGTCTTGCCCGCGCCCGACTCGCCGGACACAATAATAGTCTGGCTCTTGTTGATGCCGTGCAGACTGTCGAACGCACGCCGCGCGATCGTGAACACGTGCGGCGGTAACTGCCCGATGTCGTTAGCCGCGATGTACTGGTCGATGATCTGCTGCGTCGTGTTGTTTAGCTCCTTGAACGGATTCACGGACAGCAGCAGCGGCTCGGCGTTGACGTAGATTTGGCCTTTCAGGTAGCGTTGCCGAATGAAGTCGATGACCGACGCGTTGTTCGTGTGCGGCAGCATACCGATGTCTGGGTACGAGAGCGGGTCGATGCCGGCATTGCAGTTGTACACGTGCTCCGCGTCGCTCTCGAACGTTGCACCGTTCAGATCTTCCGGCTCCACTTGCCGCAGTTTGAAATGTTCGTTCGTCGAGCCTGGCAGCACCAGACAGCGCGCAAACATCAGGTCCGGGTCTTCCTGCACGGCGGGCGCTTGCGAGCACCAGACGTAAAATCCTTTGAAAACCTGGCCATTTTTGTCCAACGCTCGGAGCTCCGAGTTGTCACGTTTTAACTTCGGTCCACCTGCGGGCATCTTCGCAAAAGCAATTACAGCTCCTTTATTGACACATGCACATGCACAACACAATTAAGCGGCGAGGGCCGGACTTTTCGCGAGAACATATTTATAGATGAATTATGCTTGCGTATTTAACCGCTATCGTGCTTTTATGCACCGGTCTCGTTCGCGCCCAGAAAGTCGAGGTCGACTACACGCTCTTCGACAGTCCGATTACCGACATCCAGTGGGCAGGGTTCGACGAGGACGTAGTTTTAGTGTTGACGTCGCGCGGTCGCGTGTGGCGCTCGGTAAACCGCGGCGTCTCCTTTGAAAACATCACCGAGCGCATCGCCGAGTCGCTCGACGCGCCGCAAACGCGCACGGCATCTTTCAATCAGATCTTAGTGCACCCGAAGTACAAGGGTTATGTCTTCGTCGGCGGCGACAACTTCTCGAGCGCGGTCAGCGCCGACGGCGGCGATTTTTGGTCGCCGCTCAGCGAGGAGCTTGTCGTGCAAAAGTTCGTGTGGCACCCGGAAGACCCCGAGCACGCGCTCTTTACGGCGTGGAGTCCCGCTTGCAAAAAGCGTGCGACAGAGGGCGAAGTCTGCAATTTGCAACTCTTCGCGACGAAGGAGCTGTCATACTCGAAGATCCTCGTAAGCTCTGGCGTCATCCAGTTCGGCTGGTCGCCGCAGCCCGCGAAGCACGTGATTTTTCTGACGCGGCACAAAGAACTCAACATGAGCCAGACGCGCTACGCCGGCTGGCACGCGAACGCGGAGTTTGTCTCCACCCACAATTACGGCAAGAGCTTCACGACGCTTGTCAAGGGCGGCAACAAGTTCCTCGCGGCGGACAACTTCGTTTACGTCGCGAAACTCGAGGACTACGACCAGCAGTCGGTCACGCTCTACGCTAGCAACGACTACGGCAACACGTTTCAGCAGGCGCGCCTGCCGACCAACCTGAAAGACAAGTCGTACACGATTATCGACACGAGCGAAGGCACCGTCATTATCAACGTGAATCACACGCACAGCAGCGCCAAGCGCCTCGGCCACGTCTATGTGTCGGACGAGAGTGGCTTGAACTTCTCGCTCTCGCTGCCGTACAATGTGCGTTCACGCAGCGGCGAGTGCGACTTCGAACGCGTGCAGGGCGTCAACGGAGTCTACCTTGCGAATTACTATGCTGCCGAAGCGGAGCACTTGAGTCTCGGCACGCGAAACGTCATCGAGCTCGAGCCAAAGCGCAAGCGCCGCCGCGCGCCGCAGTCGGAAGTTTTGCCGGCCGTGTCGTCAGAAGCTGTGCCGGACTCGCGCGTCAAAACCGTCATTTCGTTCGACAAGGGCGGCACTTGGCAGCACCTCAAGCCGCCCACTACGGACAGCCTCGGAAACCCGGTTACGTGCAGCACCCCGCGGTGCCATCTGCACTTGCACGGCATAACGCAGTACAACTCGTTCCCGCCGTTCTACAGCCACGAAAATGCGACGGGAATCATCATTGGCACAGGAACGATCGGCGAGCACCTCGACAGCTCTGGTGAAGTCAACACCTACCTCTCGCGCGATGCAGGACGGACCTGGCTCGAGACGCACAAAGGCAGCTACAGCTACGAGTTCGGCGACTACGGCAACATCATCGTGCTCGCGAAAGACTCCGCCGCTTCCAGCCAGATCATTTTCAGCTGGAACGAAGGCTTGACGTGGTACGACATCGACGTCGGGCTTTCAGACGTGCAGTTCGAGAACATTATCACAGAACGAAACGGCACCACGTTGCGCTTTCTGCTTTACGGCACGCACAACAACCACGGCATCGTGTTTCACATGAACTTTGCGAATCTGCGGCTGCCGCGCTGCGAAGGCTTGGAGAAGCCGGACGCGGCAGACAGCGATTACATGACGTGGAAGACTAGCTCGGCTTCTGAGCAGGGCTGCCATCTCGGAGTCGATGTGACTTACGTGCGCAAGAAGCCGGAGCGCGAGTGCACCAACGGCACCGACTACAAACCCGAAGTTAAAAAGCGCGTCTGTGAGTGCACGCGCAACGACTACCAGTGCGAGGTCGGGTTCTACCGTCCGATAGGCTCCAACAACGTCTGCGAGCCGAGCCCGTACGAGGATCGCAGTTACATGACTGTGGAGGGTTGCACATCCAGCGGCATTTACTACACGCATGCGTACCGCAAAATCGTTGGCGACGAGTGCAGCAAGGGATGGAAGCCTGAGAAAGTGCCGATTCCGTGCCCGCCCAGCTCGCCGATGGCGAAGTCGACGCTCGGCTCGGTCGCCGTCTTCGGCTTCTTTCTGTCCGCGATGGGACTCGTGGCGTTCTGCAGCCGCAGCGAAAAGTTTAGGAAGTATTTACACCGCGCAGACATCAACAACTTTATGGAAGTCGGTTACAACGTCGTCGGCCGAGGCGAAACGATTTTCAACTTTTGGACCAACAACCAGCCCGCGCAGCAGGAGCAGACCGGCGTCGAGTTGTGAGCTCCGCAGCGCAGGATGTGCAACTAGCTAGACGCACCAACTTTGGCGCGTCAGTGAGGCGAGCCAGGAAGACGAGCTTCCGAACCACTGCCACCAAGGCGAGCCAGCAAGGCAAGCCAGCAAGGCGAGCCAGCAAGGCAAGCCAACAACGACTGCTAGCCTGGCCGCAAGCCGCGCTACGCTGCTTTCGTGTTAAGCAGTTTTCGCAACGTCTCCTCTTCCTCCGGTGCAAGATCCAACGCTTGGGGAAAGCGCACGTTGATCTTGATCAACGCGTCGCCGCTGCGCCTTCCGTCGCTCGCGGGAAATCCCTCGCCGCGCAACACGACTACGTGCCCCGGCGGCGCGACGCCTTTTGTCGCGACATGCAGTGTGCGCCCGTCCACGTGCGGGATCGTGGTGTCCACGCCCAGCAGCGCTTCGTCGAGAGAGACTGACAGCTGATATACCAAGTTGTTCTCTTCTCTGCTCCACAGCGAGTTTTCGCTGTAGTCCTGCACGACGAACACCAAATTTGCAGATGTGTTTGCCAACGAGGCGTTGCCCTCGCCCTCGAGCACGATCGTGTCTCCGCTCTTCATGCCCGGGCGCACGAAAACTTCAACGGTGCGCCGCTCCGTGAACTTCAACCCGTCTGGGCAGTGCTTGCATTTCTTCGCCGCGTAGCCGCGACCCGCGTCGACGCACAGCTTGTCGGGCACCGTCATGCGCAACGCGCCGAACCCGTAAACGGTCTCCACACGCATGCCTGGCGCTACGCAGTCCGGACGTGAGGCGACACAGCTGCGGTACTCGAGGCACAGCTCCGTGCGGTCGAACGTGAAGTAGAACGTCTCACCCGTGTAAAGCTGTTGCAGCGAAACGAACAGAGTGAACAACTGCGTTGGAACACGAGGCTCGCGCGCGAAGCCCCGCATCCCGTCTGCCGCGGCCTCCTCTTTCAAACCTTCTTTGCCAAATCGGTTGTAAACCGCTCGCTTTTTCTCGTCGCTCAACACGCTGTACGCTTCGCGGATTTCAGCGAAACGCTCGTTCGCATCAGCGGACTTGTTAATGTCCGGGTGGTATTTCTTCGTGAGCTTCTGGAACGCAGATTTAATTTCGCCGATTGAAGCGCGCTTGTCTACGCCGAGCACCTCGTAGTAACTCGCGTCGCCGAAGCATGCGAGAAGCAATAAAGTCAGCAGCCGCCACATTGCGCTCTCTACAACGCGCGCTGCAGATCAGAAATTCGCGAAAAATCAATTACGCCGGCGGCGCAATAATTTGTTTGTCCGGCAAACAAGTTTGCTCAGCGGTGCCGTTCGCGCCTGCGCCGCAGTGCACGCACGTCAGCGCTGCGCCGGCGCCGCTTGCGCGCGCGAGCTCCGGAGCGCAACCAGAACTGAGTTGCTGCTGCACGAAGCTTAGCGCACTCGCGGCCTGTACGTGCTCCGCGAACGCGAGCACCCAGTCGTCGCCGGCGCGCTGCGCAGCCGACAACACGCCAAATTGCGCGAATGTCTCCAGCACCTGCGACGCCGCGGCAGAACCCTTCACGCAGTGCGCGAGCGTCGCGGCGGAAACGCGCAATTCGTGACCTTTTTTCCCTAGCGCGCTGTCAAACGGCGGCTCTTCTTCTGCGGCCGCATCCAAACAGTACTGCGAGGGCGCCGGCGTCAGCCGTGGCTCGCGCCGACTGCTGCCGATAACCTTTACTTTGAAAACGCAGTCTTTGAAGCGCCAGTTGTTCAAAATCGAAAAGGCCTCGATCACTGCCGCGGGCGAATAAAACTCGACCACCACGCTGCCGAACAACTTTTGCGAGTCGTGCAGCCCGCTGCAGTGTAGGTTGCGGACTTCACCGAACTCTGAGCAAAGCCGGTGCAGCGAGTCTGAGTCGATGTGTCGCATGCAGCCCGCGAAGCCGGAGATCTCGACGGCGTGTCCGCGGCGTGCTTCTTGCTGCTCATGGAAGTTCCGCGATATTTTTGCAGAGCGATTCTTTTCCGCGTGCGAGGCACGAGCCGAGAGCGTGAAGCCGCGGAAATTTGTGCCGTCGAGCGCGAGCGCTTTCAGCGCGTCGAGCGTCGAACGAAACTCTACGTAACCAATGCCCTTCGAGACGTTCGTCTCCGAGTTTTTGACTAAGTGGACCTTCACGAGTCCAGGAAACTTCGCCGAAACGAATTCGGCGACCTCCGCTTCCGTCGCCTTCGGGAAAATGTTAGTCAGCACGATCGTGCAGTCGTCGCGCTTGCTCTCGCGGAAGTCGGTGTTCCCCTGAGCAGCCGGCTTGCCGCGTTTTTGGCGCCGAAAGCCGCCCGCGTGCATGCTGTAAAACGCAACGGCTCAGAAAGTATGAAAAATCACGACAAAAATGGCTACTTAAAAACCTTGCAGTCTATGATCTCGCGCGACCTCAGCGCAGACTCTTCGCAGAAGTAGTCTTCGATGTCCTTCTTGTGTTTCACCGGGTCCAACTTCTCCCACGTGAAGCTCGTAAACTGGTCGTGCTCCTGCATCATTTGCGGAATCGTGCTCGAATTGAATGTCATCGCGCCCTCGATAGCATAGTGGTCCGCTTCTTTCAGCACGTTGAACACGCCGAACGCGACCTTGCGCACCGAGTTGTCGATGCGCTGCAGAAACATAGCGAGCAGATTCGAGGCCATGTAGTCGACCAAGTTCTCGGTGTCGTCGTAGCGCTGGTACTTTACGCGGTACGTGCACATCTGCGCGGGCTCGTAATTCTCCCAGAACCACTTCATCGCGTCGCCGCGCAGGTCCTTCGAGTTCGAATATTTGCGCTTCCAGGCCTCCATGTCGAACGTCGAGGCTCGCTTCTCGTCGGACGCTTCCGGCTTCGACGCACAGGCCGTAGTGCATTCGGCCCGCGTGCACTCGCTTGCCGGCATACCCGCACGACCGTACACAGTGTGCACGAGCCGCAACAGGTTCTCCAACTTTGCGATTTGCACATACGGCAGACAATCCTGCAGCAGCTTCACGGAATGCGCGAGAGCCACGTCGGCGATCGACAACTCTTCCGAAGCGACAAAAGAGTGCGTCAACAAGTAACGATCCAACTGCTCGACGAACTTGGTGATCGACTCCGCGAAGCAATCGCGAGACTTCTCGCAGCGCTTCGCGTAGCAAAGCGGCATGCAGAGCGAGCTCATGATGCTGTCCAGCGCCGAGTCGATGCGGCACTGCTCAACGAGCGTCTTGCCGCCTAGCGGCGAGCTCGCGTGTGCGCGCGACATGTAGCGCATTGCGGAGTGGCAGCCCATTATCAGACCATCGCGCGTCAGCAGCGCCGGGTAGTTTTTGTAAGGCAACCGCTCGACGTTCGCCGCACGGCAGCAGTCCTCGCACTTCTCCAGGCACTCGGCGGAGCGGTATTCAATTTCGAAGTCGCCCAGTTTGGCGAGTAAGTCCAGACGCGGACACAAGAAGCATGCTTCTTTCCCGTAAACGATCTACAGCGTGTAAGCGGTGAACAGGCAAGTGCCTGCAGTAACTTACATATCTTTGCATTGCTGAATTATTAATAAAAACGACGTAACAGGCGATATTCGAATTATAATTTAAATTACCATGTCGAGAGCCACAACGAAGGAAATCAAGCCGGGTGACGTCGTCATTCTGCTCGCCGGGCCCTTTGCCGGCTCGCGCACCGTGGTCTTGAGCGTGTTTTCCGGCGCGCGTTTGGGTGTCATAGGGCTGTACCAGAGCAACCGCTGCCCGCTGGTTGGCGTTCCAAAGAGTCGCGTCATCCGCACGAGCACCTCCGTCAACGTTGCAAATTTCTTGGCCGGCGTCGCGCTGAGCGAAGCAGATTTCTTCGGCCGCGCGAAAGGCACGAAACTCGACTCGCACGCGAAAATCCTGAAGAACTTCCATGAGTTTGTGCAGAAGACTGCTCCGCAACTAGTGCCCTACTTGCGCGAGAAGTTCTCGCTGAACAAGTGCTTCCGCGTCCCGGCGCACAGACTCAAATTTTGAGATAAATACACGGCATGTGCGGCTAAATTTAAGTACATACCTTCTCTCCGCGGCTGAGTCGCGTCGACTGACGAACGCGAGGAGCATGCCGATTTCATCGCTCGAATTGCAAAACTTCTGCAGCTTCACAACGCCTACGCAACTCCGATGCGCGCGCAACGGATTCACCGCGCTCGTCGGTCAGAACGGGGCCGGCAAAAGCAGTGCGTTGCTTGCGCTGCAGTTCCTGCTCAGCGATTTTTATGATGGAGAAGACGTGCTGCAGTTCGTGCACGAGGGCGCGTTCGCGAGCGCGAAGCAGATCGAGGCCCGTGTGCGTGCCGAAGTGCAAGTCGCTGCGGGCGACGTGTTATTTGAAAAGGTCGTGCACGCGGACGGCAGCCTCGACTTTTGCGTTAATGGCGAAAGGCGTTCGCCTGCAAACTACTACGCGGAGTTGCGCGCCGAAAAGCTTTACCTTCCAGGGCCGCTGCTGCGTTTCGCCAAACTGCCTGAGTGCGAACTATCGAGCCAGCTCTGCAGCGCGGCACTACTAGATGCGCTGCTGCACGCGTGCGGCCTAGAGGCCGCGCGCGACCACTGCGTCGCACTTTGCGCCGCCCAGCGCCAGAGCCTGCGGCGGCTGCAAAGCAGCCGCCAAGAGTGCGCCGCGAAAACTCGAGAACTCGAGAAACTCAACTGCCGGCTCAAGCTGCTCAGCGCGCTCGACTTCTACGAACGCAGACACCGGGAGCTTCAGGAGCAGTTGCTGCGCGCCGAGGCTAAAAAGCTGTGCAACGCTGCTGAGCAGTTGCAGGAAGAGCGCGCGCAGTGTGCCGATGAGCTCGCAGCGCTAACGCGAGAGGCAGAGACACTCGAGCAACAGCTCAGCGTCAACAACGAGTCGCTGCTCGCTATCAAGGCGAGCCTCGCCGTGGCGCGACAATCCGTTCGCGACTCTGCTATCAGCGTAGACCACCTTGAGTGCCAATTGCTTGCGCTGACTGGCACCACGCTCACCGAACAACCCGTGCTCTCCGAGCTGCATTCGCTGAACCAGCTACGCGAAAGCGTCAACTACCTTGCTGCTAAACTGCGGACGCTCCGCGCACGCAACGCTGAGCTCCAATCGAGGCCGACCATCGCGCAGTACGATCACGTGAAGGTTTCTAGTGCCCCAGTGGATGCCGCAGCAGACGTGGCAGCGAGAGATGCCGCAGGGTTGCGACGCGAAAAAATGGTAGCTGCAACGGCACGCATGCGCGAAACTGCAGCAGCGTTTTCAGACAAGTTATCAGCTCTCAGCAAATTCAGCGCTTCTGGGGATCTTCACGAGCTGCAACAGTTTGCGCTGCGTCTCATAGATCTGACATCGTTACTCGATCTGGCCATCGAGCACGACGCAAACGATGAACTCGCTCGCGCCGTTGCGCAAGTGAAAGTACTGCGAGCGCAGAGCGCCAAATGCCTGCAACGCTGCAAGTGGCAGCTGGTGTCACGTAATGCGCAGCCGCGTTCAACGCTTCCTGCGCGTTCAATGACCTTCCGTGTTGCGTCGCTCAGCGTGACGCCCTGCTGCATCGCCGTGCAGAGACTGCAGATGGAATTCGGCCGTGATAAAGTGTTTAGCACGCTGCAGAACCTAGTGTCCGTCAAGAACGCTGTGTTCAAGCAAATGGTTAGCGCTGCGCTCGGGAAATATCTCGACTTCGTTGTAGTAGCCGACGCCTCTGTAGCCTCGCAGTGCGCGGAATTCGCGAGACGCACTAAACTGCAGCAGCTGAACTATGTCTACCTGACGCCGGTGCGAAACGCAAAATCACACGATTTCACAGACGTACTTCGCAACAAAGGAAAATGCTTTAGCGAAGCGACTTATGCGCCTAACATCGTGTCCAGCGAGCTGCCAGCACTGCATTCGTTTCTGCTGGCAGCGGTAGGCCGGTACGCGCTACTGCCTAACGCATCGTTTGCTGATCGCGCAGAACTGCAAAAAATGTGCCCACCTGGATGCAGATTGCTCGCAGCCGACTTGTTCTACGTTGAGAGCGCAAACTCCTGTGGATTTTTGCGGGCAGCTCGGTTTGACAATGGCTGGGTAAATTCCGGAAGCGAAACTGCTGTAGACACAGTTAATAAGTCGAGACATTGCCGCACAAATCGCACCTTCATAAACTCTAGCGAGGTCGACAATTTAGTAAGCGGCGCTAAAGTCTTGTACAATCAACTC